TAGTATCAACTTATTTAGAGAAAAAGTAACCATAACATGGCTGAAAATTAATATCCAACCCACACATGTAGACAGATAACATCAACAGTATATAGGATGTTAGTAAACATAAACAAACCATTAAAGAATCCAAACAAGGAGGCTTTCCAGTCCATACACAATGCCTCTTTCAGACCATTACTCGAGTATGCTGCACGAGCATAAAACCTCTTTATGAAGCATAAAAAGAAACTTGAGAAAGTTCAGAGGTTTACAACTAGTCAGAATTGAGAGGCCTCAGTTATGAGGATAGGTTGAGAGAACTCGCCCTCACAATCTTAGAGAGAAGAAAAGGGGATATGATAACTACATAAAGGATTTTGAGGGAAATAGACAAAGTGGACAAAGAAAGCTTATTTCAAATAAAACAGAGGTAGGACAAGGAAACATCAGGGAAACTGGACATGCAATTGAGGTGAAGAGATGCATTGAAGTTATTGTTTCCTGTATGGGTGGTCGGCAAGCAGAATACACTGAAGGAAGAAGTTGTTGAAGCCAATTTCATCCACAACTTTAAGAAAAAATATAATAAAGATGTTAATGTTCGGAGAGATAACCAGTGTGTCAGTTAGAAGTGGCTATGAGGCGGGGTATAAAGAGCTAGATCTCACTACCCCATAGTAACCGATAGGTAAGCATATACGAAAAGAAGGAAAGCGACAACATTTGCTCCATCCTGGACACTTAGGTAATTAAACATCATGGGGCTTGAGATTTAGTATATAAACCACAAAATGATAAACACAAATAGGCAATTATACACACAAGAGACAGTTATATTTATTGAATATGATGTTCACAAACATACTCTATAATTAATAAATCTATGCCAGTATAGTTTCAACTCATGAATAATCTCGAAATGCATAATTATTTTTGTACTACTGTACCTATAGAGCACCGACATGCTGGGAAGATACAGTGCATGGCTCCTTTAGTCACCTCTTAAGTCCCAGGTGTGCACTCATCTCTCTCGTTTCTTCATATTTCATTTGACTCACTTTATCCCAATGTTGCACATCCTTGCAATTTGGGAGTAAATTTACATTTACGTGCTATACTGCACTGACAAATTATAGCCACTCTGATGCGAGTGATGTTAAGAGAAACTTTGAGAAATCAGAGTTCTCATCTCTCTGCATGTCACCGATAACATTACCAAGTGACAGTGAGAAAGCCCAAATATGCTAAATCTGTCATCTAATCATTTGGACTGAAGACCAGTGACAAAACTGAGGTGATCCTCTCAAAGGTAGTTTAAAAGCAAATATAAATTCTCTGCAGTAAGTCCTCCATTACCATAAGTAAAAATTACATTTTGCATGTTAATGTTCACTGTGTATATTTAACATTTTTGTTGTTGCATGTATCATACCATTCATTAGACTGATGTACATTTTTCAATAATAAATAATGAATACCTTTTCATGGGTCATTATATATTATTATACATAATTATTCATTCAGTTACAGAATCTTATATTAAAAAGAATCCTACTGTTGAATTATTCCCATGTTTTCAATTGCCATAAATCCATCAGAAGTGCTCAAAGTATGTGCTGAAGTGAACTGCATGTTGGATTGGTTGTCTTTCAACTGACAGTCAAAACATGAACACTTTAACCCTTAGACAGCATACACAATGAGCCAAGTAGAAACAAGAAATCATAGAAGATAGTTAAAAGTAGAGAAAACAATAGAAATAAGCAAAGGTACTAACAGATGCTCAGTAGCACAATTATTAATTATTGAAAATATATTGAATAAATAAGGTTTCAACTAGCAACTGATTTTGTGCAGTGATTATTAACTGCATAACTTGAAAACATGCATAAACACACACAATCCAAGTAGACACCACTCGGGACGACTTATTCTTCACATGTACTAAAAATACAGTACTGTATATGGTCACTTCGTTCCTTGCAATATTTAAGCTTATGGAATCTGCATACACTAACAAATGGACATCATTTTTAATCTTGACTGAGGTCTACTAATGACCAGTTTATTTCCAGACTAGATCGAATTTAATTCCTTAAATATTAATTAAACTGTCAAAATTCATGTCTCATATTATGGAGGGCATTACACAAAGATAATTAATGCTTCAAACCTCATTGAGTGCAGATCATGGATAAAGAGGGTTATTTAGAAGAAGCAGGTTTCCTTATATGACTCGGATGAACTTGACTTTGGTGCTGATAGAGTAAAGTCTCTGATGTAAACATGGTGTGGCAGATTGAGCATGGAAAAACATTAATAATACGCTGACCTCCAGCTTCATCTGAAGAAACAAGAGGATCTGTATTGTGCTCCTCAGAGCTTGTGCTATACACTTCATACACCACATCAGATGCTTTTTCATCACACACTACAAAAGTATCTCCATCAATATATATTGTCTCTAAATCAGATTGTGGGTGGTATGTCTTTGAGGAGCCTTCTCCAAGCATGCTGTTCGATATGCGAGAGTACTGAAAGCGGACGGGGCGACGTGTAGGATGCGGTGTAATTATTTTTTCCTCTGGCATTTTGTTTTGTTCTCCACTACTGCTAACAATTTTGTGCTCCATGCGCATGTGTGTTTTCAATCCCTCAGACCCTCTAAATTTTGCATCACAGGTAGTACACTGATGCACATAAGGCAAATCTGAAATATCTCCATGCTTTTTTATATGTCCCTTGAGGTTAAAACCTGTCATGTGTTGAGCACCACACACATCACAAATGAATCGCTTATCATTGAGATGAACAGCACGAATATGTCGTGCCACATGTTTATAGGCTTTGAAGGCAGCTCCACAATAATTACAAGCATAGTCTCGATCGTCTTGATGACTGCGTTGATGGTCTTCATATGCACCTTTGTGATTATAAGCTTTACTACACACTTCACAGAAAAAACGACCTTCATTTGTATGGATGACCAAGTGATTTCTATACGATTCTGCTGTTTTTAGACCTTTACCACATTCTGGACAAATAAATTGTCTCTCGTCAGTGTGCACTTTCATATGCCGCTTCAGGTATTCTTTAGTAGGTCCTTCATACGTACATTTTGTACACTGATAACGGCGTGGTGCACCGTGCTTGAACATGCGATGTACTTTCAAACTAATTTTTTGTGTGAAAGTTTTTCCACAGTCTGCACAAGTATGTTCACCTTGCCAAGGTGCTACACCCAAGTGAATGTGACTGAAGTGTAAGTCAAATTTTCGTTGGGTACTAAATACCATGTCACATTCATGGCAGGGATGCTCCCGTCGTATCCACCTTGTATCTCCTTCTGGGCGCCGACGTCGCCCAAGTGTTTTACGTTTTGTAGGAGTCTCGGGGTCAACAGAACCTTCCACATCGGCCTTGCTGCTGCTCCCTATCCCTGCCCCAGCCTCTCCAGCCGCCAGCGTCTGTTCTGCAATGAGAGGCGGCCGTCAGACAGAGGATGGGGTGGGCACTTGATGGATAGGTTGAGACACCAGCAGGGCACGCTCTACCCAACAGGCACTTTTAAATACAGTACTTAGTTTGCAAGCAAACAATGGTTTGCATGCATAAAAATAAACATGTACATACAGTAGCAGCGTTTAAAAAAATAACACATTTTTGTTTTCCCAATTACAGTATATGTTCTAATTAAAGATACCTGGTGGCAATATTTACATGTTCTCTAGTAAATAGACTTCTTTAAGTCTATTTACTAACCTGGATGGGGTTCTATATTTAACTAAGGACTACATAAAAATGATTACTCACTCCACTATAATTTCTTAAATATACAAACAAGTAATAAGTAAATAATAAAATGATATTTTGTACAATAGCATCATAACATAAGGAATGTAGTTTTAATATTATAGTGCAGAAAAAGAAACGTCTGACAGCAAACACTTATACTCTATATAGTTATACATACTACCTACATATATACCTGGAACATACCTGGAGGGTTTTTTGGGAGTTCTTCTACCGGCCTGGGGCCAGATATATTAGTGTACTCATCCTAATATCAATCTTACTGAGTTAAGTAAGGCCAGTTGGGACAAAATGTACTTTTGAAGGCAATTACCAATGGCAGGCCAATGGCATTTTTTCAGTATGATTATTTAAAAAGAACTCGGAGCACACTCAAACCTTACTAGATATTCTTACATGCACAAATCTTCCCATAATATAAAGGAAGTAAAAACAGACTTGGCATAGGAAATTACAAGCTCTCAGCATGAAGGCATATAAATGCTGCAATATCAAGTCCTCACAAGCCACTAGGGATGGATTTCAAGAAAATCTTGGCACAGGCCAACTTGCAAATGCAGTACAGTGGAACTTTAATTTGGTGAACCATATTTGACCATGACCTAATTCATTGTAGCTAGAGACTCCTTGCAGCTGGAGAGACCTTCAAAAGGCGTTTGCATGATACATTTGTTAAAACACAATAAATATACTGTACTGTACTGCTACAACTGATTCTCCAAAATATTTAATTTATCTATGAAAATTCTTAAAATGTGATCAGAGCCATATTGAATGAGTTACCATTCATATCCTAATATTTTCCATACTCTACAAGGGAAATATTAATTGGAACCTATCTGCTTGATGAGTTTCTGGAATTCTTCTACTTCCCAAGCTCGGCCCGAGACCAGGCTTGACTTGTGAGAGCTTGGTCCAGCAGGCTGATGCTTGGAGCGGCCCGCAGGCCCACAGTTTGATTGGTCTGACATTTCTTGAAGAAAACTACAGTATTTACATTTCTCTTGAAGATGTCCACGGTTGTTCCGGCAATATTTTTTATACTCACTAGGAGGATGTTGAACAACCGTGCAGCTCTCATGTTTATACAGTGTTTTCTGATTGTGCCTATGGCACCCCTGCTCTTTACTGGTTCTATTCCACATTTTCTTCCATATTGTTCACTCCAGTATGTTGTTATTTTGCTGTATAGATTTGGGACCTGGCCCACCAGTATTTTCCACGTGAATATTATTTTATATCTCTCTCTCGTCTCCTTTCTAGCGAGTACATTTGGAGAGCTTTGAGATGATCCTAATAATTTATGGGCTTTATCGCATCTATGTATGCTGTATTAGATTGGATTGTTCATCCTATAGGATACCTGTTGTCCCAGGTTACCTGTTAAAGAGTTCTACACGGGTGAGGCTTATCTTGAGATAACTTTGATTGCTAAGACTGGTGCTAGCAGCGGCCCGCACGCCAACAACTCTGCCTTTAACCATTCACCCAACATGCATTCATATTGTTATTCAAGTGAACAAGAACCCATTATTGTACAGACAGTTTGAGATGAAGGAATATTCTGTTTATGGCCATAACACTCCTTAAGATCGCTCCAGACGACCTCCAGGAATCATCAAGCATCTACTCATCCACTTACAGAACCTGTACATCTTTAACAATCATGATGGCTTCGTTTACATTTGTTACAGTTTTCGAGCTTCGAAACATCACAATCCGAGGTTATTGTTGTTATATCCAACCTTGTAGTTCTTCGCACTTCAAGGATGAGTGCACAAACCCTCCCCTCAACATGGAGTGTTTATAATCCAACGTGGAGTCCTTTATTGAGGATTCCAGTTAGTGTATGGAAGACGGTGAGGAGGAGAGGTGTTAGTGTTTGAAAGGGGAAATCCCCTTCCATCATAACATCAGGCAGTGATGACATTGCAGGCATACCACTAGGACCTGGTTGTGGCTAACTGCTTGCTTGTCTTACTAAGAATCTGTCTAAAGACACTAGTTTTCCCTACATTTTAACACTTGTCTGTAGTGAGACATCACATTCATTCACTATGAACGATCTCTTGTTTTTCCTCTATCGTCATCCACACAACTATTTTCTTTGCTTGAACTTTACAATTGATTTTCTTGGGACCCATAGTGTGATATAAAATAAAAATTTTACTGTTCAGAAACAAAAAAAAAAAGCAGAAAAACCATGAAATTCTTTACAAAGAATTCAAGCGTGGTCATCACTAAGTGGGAGACACTGATAAACTGAGCGTGCCTCGCCTGCGTCTAGCAGAACCACGAGCTCGCTCGACCTATACAAGTATCAACAAACGTTGTATTCCAAGGCAAACATTGTACACCAAGTCAAATTTTACAAGGAATTTGATGTCATATACCAAACAAATTGTAATCTAGGGCAGCCATAAACCAAGGTACCACTGTGTAGATATAGTGTATATATGCAGTGTAATAACATCAAAAACACTGTTTTATTGTTCTGAGACAATAATAATTGTATCACTAATATGCATACCATATTTTTTAGTACAGTGATGGTCCACACATTATTATATAAATTTATCACATTGCACACTATTGAATAATATTACTGCAAAAAAATAGAAAAACAATCAGACACCTTGAAATAATTAAGTAATAATATGTTTGTGGCAGCTCCTGCCACATGGCTTGGCTGGAGCAGACTGCCCCCTCCAAACACACACACTGAAACTACGACGTTGGTACAACGTTTGAACAAGTTTTAATTGTAACAATGTTCTAATACATCATAAACACATTAACCCAAGATGTAAGAACTTTATTACAAGTTGTAACAAGCAGAAAATAGAGACAGTTACGGTTTGTGTTTCAAGGGCCTCTAGAGCACTACTCTCTCAATGCCTGCATCATGCCACACTTCCTCACCTCATCACTGCCAGAATATGTCACAGACAATTTTTCCCCCATGATCAAGGAATGCATTTAAACAATATTAAAGGCAATTTTTTTTTATTTTTTTTTTATTTTTTCTTGTGAACCGGGATTGACAGCTATTGACACTAACAGTTGCGCAGCGAGAGGGTTAATGTGAAAAAATGCCACTTTATGGAATGCTTAATAGGAAAAAATAGGCCCTATACAACCTACAAATTATGTGAAAAAGTTTTGAAGTATTCTGATAAAAAGATCTAGGGGTGATTCTAGAAAGAAAACTGTCACAAGAGGACCACATAAAAACATTGTATGAGGAGCCTATGCTATGCTTCCTAACTTCATAATTGCCTTTAAATACATGGATGGCAAAATATTAAAGAAATCGTTCATGACTTGTGAGACCAAAGTTGAAATGTGCAATGAGTGTAGGGAGCCCATATCTCTAGAATCACATTAATAAACTTGAATATGAGCAAAGACATGCAACTGAACAGCTTCCAGAACCAAGAAACAAAAGCTATGTTGAGAAGCTAGAACAAAATAACAACAGGAATCAACAAAATTAAAGAAGACGAATTCTTGTAACCTACAACTTAAAGAATAAGCGGGCCAAGATTCAAACTTAGGAAACAAAGCTGCCAAAAAAACGTTTGAAAGCTCACTTTTGCAAACAGATTGGTAGATGGTTGGAATATGTGAAAAGATGGTGAATGCCAAAACCATCAGTAGTTTCAAAGTGTTATATGACAAAGAGTACTAGGAAGACAGGACACCATGTGCATAGCACCCACCTTGTAACTACACTTAGGTAATTACATATATGAAATGAAAGTGGTGATGTTTTCTGCTCATCCTGGACCCTTATCAAATTTTTATGACACGATAAAGGTCCAAGAAGGATCGAAACGCATCATTTTCAGCCACGTTATTGTCACTTTATTCTCTAACATGACCAACTTGGTTTGGTTTTATGTGGCTGTAGCATCCACATTAGATATAATGTGGCAGCCAATTTAATTATTCCCAAGCTATTTCACATACTAAGAAAATTTATTCTAAGCAATCAAAAGTTCCCAATAATCTCCATAACTGCTAATGGCACCTGCAATCATAATCACTCGCCATTAATGACATCTGTAACAAATCCCCAAGGTTTCCACAAATCACTTAGGGTAACCAGAAGTAACCTGGAGCTTCTCATCGGGCCAAGAATGATCAGCTTGCCAAATAAAAAAACAAACTAGGTCCAGCACAAAGTCAGATGGGCGCCACTATAACATGGTTGAAGATTCAAACGTCAGTCTGGTTCCAACTCTCACCAGATACTATACGCCTCCCTCCAGAGCAGACAGCCAATCCAGGCCTTACTCGAGCTTTCTGTTCTCTCCCTCCTTCGAGCTCTGCATCGTTGGCCTCACCCAAGCTCTCTGCTTTTGGCCACCTTCAGCACCATGTCCTACCTGACTACAACAGTTTGTAGCAAGCATCCTCGTCTCAACCTATCACATCATTATCATACCATTTCTAACATTCGACTGCTGTAATCAAACAATACTAATCAAAAATCATCATACTCTTTGAATATAATGATTAAGCTTACTTATCTTGATTATATGGGGAAGGACCCCTCACGGGATAAGCCAGGCATCAGGATTAGCAGAATTCTTACATGGGAAGTTCAAAATTACAATATCCAGAATTTCTTGTATCACAATCAACATAATTCAAATTTCCACTTACACTATTAATACAAAATTAATTTAAAACAGAAACTTCAGCTTACCTTGTTGTAATTTGTCTTCTTGTTTGATACTGAAGACCTTGAAATGTGTATTTCTTGAAAATTTACATAACCTAACCTCCAGTCAACTGGATTTCTGTCCAGATACGGCAAAATTTTGCCAGAAATTTATCTGGACTTGACTTACAACTCTGTGCCAGTCTGCATTAAATAGCCAAATCTCAAATTCTTTGCATTTCTGCTTGAATATGGTTAAGTTTGGCAGAAAATTATCTGGAGCCGATTTTGGCCAGACAACTCAAATATTTGGTTAAGCAGACTTTGGAGAACCGAGTGTATACAGTACCACCCAAAATCTTTTGTTACATAGCCATAAATAATTATAAACAGGGCTTTTACCACTACTGGACATTTATGATATTCTTATTATCAATGTGCATTATGCACAAAATACTTACTACTTATCACAAAAAGATGGCGGCTGCATTTTAATACCCATGTACTGTACTCTTCCACCATCATAGTACATTTTTCTCACTTCACTTCCCACTTTATATACACAGATTGTTACACCCATATATGATCCTTTCATCATCCATGCATGTATGTTAAAATTAAAAAGTAACAAATAAAATGCATTGTTAATACATATTGCTTTTATAAAGTTCCTACAGAAATAATGATATCTTTAAATAAATAAAATACTGTACTGTATAGTGTTACAGCATTGAAGGCTTAAAATAAAAAAATTACATACAAAATTAGACATTTTTACAGGCATTGAACTTGTGAATATCATGAATATGCCATAAAAGATATGGACAAACATACTAGTAATATGTATTTCAATATTTACATACAGTATCTGATACAGATAAGAGTACCAAGGCTTAAATATTCATTCTTTGTGAGATGTCTTAATATGGGCAGTAAGGAGGTCTTGAGATGTGAACATGGAGCCACAATAGTTACAGTGATATACATATATGATGCTAACATGCTGTCTAGGTTGCTCTTCACCATTATCTTCAACAACAGCCTCAATGGCTTCAACACAATCTTCCTCGACTAACAGTGAACGCTCAGTCTGGTAAGCTACGACCTCGGTCCCTCCCTCTTCGATTATGTGTTCCACATCAGCAGTGTACATCATTTGCTCTTTTTCAATTTCTTCCATTGGAAGTGACTTGGACTTTCTTCTATTGTACATGGCTGAAGCTACTGAAGCTGGACGAGCTTCTGATTCTACCTTAATTTGAAGTGGCTGGTACTCTTGTGAATGCACAATGCGTTTATGACTACTTAACCCAGCATCACTGTAAAATTTATATGAACAAAACTGACATTGGTATTTTGCATTTGTACGGTCAGCACGTGTATGCTTCTTCATGTGACCCCTCAGATTGTAATTGGTCATAAATCTTGCCCCACATATATCACATATAATACGCTTGTCATTCAGATGAACTCCTCTTATGTGTGTCCGTAATGATTTATTTGTCTTAAATGCAGTTTGGCATATATCACACCTGTAGTCTCGCACATCAAAGTGACTTCTATAGTGATCATCATAGTACTGTTTGTGATGAAAGGCCTTTTTACATACATTACACTGGTATCTACCTTCATTTGTATGTAGGGCCATGTGATTTTTGTAGGTGTCAGTAGTTTTTAGTGCCATACCACAATATTCACAAGAATAAATTCTATCATCTGAATGACTCTTCAAATGTCTTGCTAGTTTGGCCTTTGTTACAGCTTCATAGTGACACAGATGACAAGGAAACTGTTTAGGATCACCGTGCTTGTGCATCCGGTGAACCCTCAATCCAACTTTTTGAGTAAATGTTTTGCCACATTCTTTACACAAGTGGCTTCCAGTCCATGGAGCAATGCCTAGATGTATGTGCTGATGGTGACGCTCCATTTTAAGCTTAGTGGTAAAGACTTTGTCACACTTGGGGCAGCTGTAAGATCCTCTGAGCCAACGGTCGTCTCCACCTTTACGAACTCTCTTCATTATTTGTCTCTGTCTCAGACTACTATATCCCTGTACTTTTACTATGCCTCTCTTTGATATACTTATTTTAGCTCTATCACAGTCCTTATTTTCCTCCTCACTATCCTCACTCCCTGATCCCCTGTCCGCCTCCCGGCCTCCTGTTTCTTCCCCAAGACATTCTCGCCCTGGAAGGAACAAACACAAAGTGTGAGGGGAGGCGGAGGGAAACAGTCTGCACAGGCATTTCAATTTAACTAAAACCCATTAACTGTATTTTCTTTCAAACAATTCTGTACCAAAAAAATGTATAAATACAGTAATACAGTACAAAATTTAACTGTGAAATGAAATCCATGTTAGAGTTTGTCTCCCTGACAGTCTTATATTTGCATAGACAAATTGTGTCAAATGACAATTCAATACAGTACAATAATTACAATGAGAACAAACAAAATTCTTTTGATATTTTCCTTTTTGTCAAATATTGCTAATACTCCTAATTTTCCTTCTCATCCTTTCCCCCTCCCCTCATTTATTCCCCACAGAAAACAATGGTGTAAGAATGAGTGTACCACTGAAGATGAAATTTGAAATACAGTGTAGAAATTCAAACACGCGATGCGGATTGGATGAGTGTGTAATTATGCATACACTCCACCGTTTACTCATACCCGACCATCCACGGATGAGAGAATCTGATATGCTAATGGAGGGATTACTTATATTCACCTCTAAGCTGTCATTAACACTTTCGCTGCCTAATGCCGAATAAATAATAATGCCGTCATAAAACCAAAATACGGAGTATGCAGGATGACGTAAACGGTGTCATGCACAAATTTTTGCAATGGCTTATTAAGTATAAACATTGTGGGTGAATGAGTTTAACATTGAGTTGTGTGCTAACCGGGAATGCTCTGCCTACCTTCCAGGTGCGATTTGGGTGCCCCGCTGGGCCAGCAAAAGTGTTAAGGAGTAGCAAATATAATAATGTAAAAGATTTTAATTACAAAAATATAAACTGAATGACTTTCAGAGCTGGAATTCAAAATCTAAAGGAAAAATTCATAAATTTGATATGAAAGACATTAAAATATTACCGAAAGTAACATTCCATCCAATGTGGATATAACACCTATAAGAACAAATACTTTGTTTGAACAATATAAACCCATTCACAAGAATAACCATATAAAGGCATTAATAAAGTCAATGTGTCAATAACACAAAATAAAATGGAATATATAAGTAAGACTGACTACCTGCCTACCTGTTCATGATTCCAGGAATCAACGTCACTGCGGCCCGGTCTCAGGCCCGGCCTCCTGGCTGCTAGTCTGATCAACCAGGCTGTTCGATGCGGATGTTTGCAGCCTGATATACGAGTAACAGCCTGGTTAATCAGGTATCCTTTGAAGGTGCATGTCAGGTTCTCTTTTGAACACTGCAAAACGTCTGCCAGTTTTGCCCCTTATGTGTAGGGAAAGATAAAAAGTCTTGGGGTCTTCGATGTTGGTCAAGTTCTCTCTCAGCATGCCTAATGCACCTCTACTTTTAAGTGGGGCTATTTGGGCACATCCTGCCATGCCTTCTGGTTCATGTGGTGTTATTTCTGCCTGCAGATTTGGAACCAGTCCTTCTAATATTTTACAAGTGTAAATTACAATGTATCTCTCCCACCTGCACTCTAGGGAACACAGATCTAACATTTTTAGCAGTCTCAATAATTTGAATGTTTGTTTGGATTCTAGTGGTAAAAGATCTTTGCATGCTCTCCGGGTCAGCAATTTTTTCAGCTTTTAATGGGGTTGATAGTGTGCAACCTTCCTTCACTGGTTTCCTTCACTGGTTCACAGGTTCTAACTCTGGTCTCTGGTAAGTCAAACAAACTCTCACGACTGATGTAACTTGTAGTATGGATCAATCTCAGCGAGATAGATACAGGAAGCTACCGAGGGGTTCCCAAGAAAACCACATTAGGGTTACAATAGTTAAATTATTCATTTTTGTTATTATTCCATAGATAATCCCATTGTCAGGGACAGGATGTCTATACTGTACTCAGGCTTGTATCGAGGTCTTCCCCCAACCCACAAACGTTGCCCAAGACTCGGATAATATTTATCGCTCGTGAGCCCTACCCCCGTGGCTATAGTATAAATGTCTGTACAGGTATAAAAAAAATGTACAGATAAAACATCTAATAATTTTCCTCTTTCCCATTTACACTTGAGATTTACTGAGGAAACTATCATGTAAACATATATTTATTACCTATAGTTTACTTACCTTTGGTTGCTTAAGCAGTGTCCACCTAACCTCTTAAATGCTCAATGTTTTAAATTAATAACCCTTCAACACAGCAGCACTCCCAATGTACGTGTTCCTACACTCTGCTCTTTCCTACGTTCATCCTGCCTCTATATATAGTTACTCTGCCTCATGTGTTATACCAAACTCTTTGAATAACAAACAAAATAAAAATTCTATCAAAATGGATTCATTTATTTTTTGGATTTAAGCTTTATCTAAAGTACTAGAACTGCGAGGTTATTCAGTACCATGGTTTTCCTAGAACACAATCTACAAATTGTTTTACACCCAAGCCTGCAATTACTGCTGACTATCCAATCATCTTGACCAGACCACACACTAGAAGGGGAAGGGACGACAACGTTTCGGTCCGTCCTGGACCATTCTCAAGTCGATTGAGCACAATCAATCAAAACCGAAAGGGACCGAAACGTTGTCGTCCCTTCACCTTCTAGTGTGTGGTCTGGTCAACATACTTTAGCCACGTTATTGTGACTCATCGCCTGCATCCAATCATCTTGCTTAAACCCTGGTTCAGGATTTAAGCCCAAGTCCTCCTCACCCGCAGGTGGAACGAGTGAGAGCATATGCCACTACACCCTCGTACGTACTCCTTGCTCACTGGGTATATTAACCCCCTGGGCTGCACCACTGTTTTTACCTGACATTCCCTCAGTTCCCAAGAAAAAAAATTCTTCTATATTTTTTCCTTCTAATTCTGTATGGTTAAAATGCACTCCCTCATCACACAGAAAAATAATTGCATGTGGCTTACTTTGGCCATAGTGAAACCTAGAAGTCAGCCAATTCATTAAGATTCATTCACCCAAGGGCAGTCTGTCCAACTCTGCTGTGGTGCTGGAATTGCCATGAAAATATTTTTACATACCGGTATTTATTTCAATGTCTGATTTACTTTTTCCTTGTATTTTTCCAGTATTATTTATTAGTGTGTCATTTGAGAAATTTAGATATTAAATTTATACATTTAATAATTTATATTTCTGCACAACAGCAGTATTACTATACAACACTTAATATTATTATCAGATTCATGCCACTAAATCACAAATACAAATAATTTTCCACATGTTTTTATAAAGGAATATGAGGTCACATTTCATGATGGGTAAATGCACGAAATTGCAGCTGTGTGCTGCGAATGTTTGCCTCCTACTGTGAACATCATAACCAGCACTGAACTCACAGAAATCTGACCCTTGTTCATAGTCTTTATCAGTCAGGATCTTCTGTGACACTATCAATGCCAAATAATCACAGTTATTTATTTATTTCATCCATATTAAGTGATGCTGTGGGCACAAGCTGCACGACAGTGATGTGAGCTGTTGCAGCATGCACTACCCGTGGTTGCCCTGTCAATAACGAGGCCTCGCATCTAGGAGGGTTGCCTAAGATGTTTTCCCAAGATGACGTCTGTTTGCTGGAGGCTTGAGGAAGCAAATGTGAGCCCTGTATATGTGTTGGACTTTTATGTGGCACTCAAAATCGTCCCTGTTTGACTTGTGCAGTGTAGTCAGATATGCCACAGGCATCCCTGCTTGACTTGAGCAGCTGAAGGGTTAAGCCCAGTACAGATGTCCTACACTTGGCTAACACCTGATGCACCTTAAAATTTATAATACTGTATTAAACATTGACAGAAGTATTTCTTACCTTTTTTACTTCTTTGATTGACTTTCTTCTGTTTCCGCTTTGATGATGAAATTCCAGAGTCACTATCTGAAAGTGTCAAATAACAGGAATTGTACTTACTTTTTATTCATTATCAAGATAAGAATATAAAAATAAAAATCTGCAGTAAAGCTACTGGCCCATGTAAGGCAATTCCTAATCCTACTCAACCAAACTCCTTTATTTATTTATTTATATATATATATATATATATATATATATATATATATATATATATATATATATATATATATATATATGTATGTATGAATGTATGTATGAATGTATGTATGAATGTATGTATGTATGTATGTATGTATGTATGTATGTATGTATGTATGTATGTATGTATGTATGTATGTATGTATGTATGTATGTATGGAGGGCCAGGTTCTGGCTTATGGTTCCCAGTAGGCCCAAATGAACACCACAACTGATGGCACCTAGACATTTGGCACTGTATCAGCAATGTAGTTTCAGGGAACCACTGGGGGCTCTTCCAGGAAGAACCTACGAGCCAATTATAAATTCCAAAACATTCCGAAATACCATGCTAACTTGGTCATTAATATCAGATCTTAATGCTCGGTAATCTCCACAACAGAATCTACTGAACATGTTGCCCAACATGTATATCTGTTGAGAATGCCCATGAGTGATGTGCAACACTCTTACAAATATACTTTTTTATTTGCTTGCAAATACATATTGTCTCACCTCTTTTATTGATGTTCCAATCCTCATCGTCCAACTCTTGGTCTTCTTCCTCATCCTCGTCGGGTTCGGGAAAACCTGGATGGAATTCATCATCATCTATTTCAGTCGCCTCCTGCAAACCCAACCCATCTGTATCATCCTCAACCACATCCTCGTCCGGTTCAATTTCTTTCTTCCATTTTGTGTTTTCCTGCCAGAGTTTTGGAGTAATTTCTCTCAACCCTGTCATTGGTGCTTCCTGTTGGTAAATAAAACATGAATTTGCAATTTTTTATTGGTTGTATGTGTATCATATCTAATCTCTGTTATGTAACTATCCAAGGTGTCATCTCAAAAGTAAGCAAATTGCACAAGCAGCAGAATCTTAAAAAAAAAACACTGTATGTAATGAAATACTAATGTCTGGGTGAGCCCCAGTGGCTTCCTAAAGCTACCATACCCGATGTAGGTGCCATCAAGTGCAGAGTTCTCTGGTCTAGTGGGGACCTAGAGCTAGAACCTGATCCCCTCACAGATGTGCAGGGAGCCATGGCATTAATATATTAAGTTATTCATTTATGTCACCACCAAGGGAAGCACCCAGAAAGTCAGCTAGACAAAAACCACAGCTGGCTGTTTCTGATACCTGCAGACTTGAAATGGCTGTAGAACTCCCCAACTTATGTAAACAAATGACCAAAAAAGTTATAACCCGGCACCTGCTCGTTTGCACCATCCTTCCCCTCATTTGGGGTAGGAGAGGGGGCAGGCCACAGCTCACAGGCTGCTCCACCGTCAGTTCGACAAATGATGTAAGAACCAGACTTCCTGAAGGAAGTTCTACATATTTCTACTTTGTGGTTCTACTTTTATATACTTCTACTACTGAAGTTTTACTTCCTCAGGGAAGTCAGTGTCAGGGAGCCATCAGGGCTCACCCAAAAATTGGCATATCATTACATTCAATGCTGTTTTTCTAGGAGTCTCTTGTGGCTTCCTGAAGCTATCTACCCATGGAGAAGGAAGAAATGGGCATACATTAGGGAAAGAGGGAGCACCACAAGTATCAAAATGAAGACCAAGACCACTGGCCTAGAAAGCTGACCCAAGGCCATACAGGGGTAATGAGGCCTGGGAACACTGTCCAAACACAGGCCGCCAACACCCCGGATGACCCCAAAACCTCCATGCCCGAACCAGCTAGGACAGGAACATGAGGACAACTGAAGACATCAAAAACCCCTGAACCCCACTTATGTGAGGAAAAACAGCAGGCTGGCAAGCAAGGAAACACTGCAAACAACCCAAAAAAGGAAAAACCAGGAGATTAAACAACCCATAAGGCAGTCACTGAGGCAAAGCCAGTATCACAAAGGGCATGGCAGAAACTGCCACCCGAGAACAGGGGAAGTGCCCCCGGGTTGCACCAACGAGCCCTAAAGACGCAATGACCCTTCCAGAGGCCAACCTGCTCTATCTCAGTCAGAAAGCAACAAGGAAACAGCCCAACAGGGTGAAAGGCCATAAACCTGAGTGAGAGGAAGGCAACAAGCTTAGGAATCAGCAACTGGAAACAAGACAAACTGAAGGGTACCCCAATACTGAGCAGAAAAGAGAAAAGAAAAACATGGCCAGAAACCAAGCCAGCCCAGGCATCACAAAGCATGCCGAGGGTGAACAACATCCAGAACCAAAAAGAGTCAAAGCCTCGAATGTAAACAGCGGGTAACACAACTGAGCTACTTATAGCCCAACTGAGCTACAAATAGCTGAAAGTAGGGAACATAACCAGCTGGAACGTGAATGGGTTGCATAAAACCCCAGCAGGCTACAGAGCCCAACAAGGTAGCCTTGCCCTTAAGGCCCTAAGCAACACCACGTATGACGTATGGAGACCGAAGCCAGAATGACTAGGACCACACCAAGGCATCCTCAACTTAGAACTGAGCTTGGCCAAGCCAGATGACCAGGTACACCTCCCTCCTTCCCCTAAACAAGGGGAAAGGTGGAGCAATTCACAAAATTTTGGTGGTTTGTTTTCATTCTTGGGGTAAGTTTTTTTGGCAATTTTGAGGCTAGTCTCAATTTTAAACCATGAAATAGATGGTTTTGGCTCGTCTATCTTCCTGGGTACTTTCCTGGTGGTGGCAAGTATGATTAAAATTTAAATGTAAAGTTTTCATAGGTCATCGCTCCTTGTGCCTCTGTAAAGAGGCCAGGTTCTGATTCGTGATCTCCAGTAGGCCACTACAACTCTAACTGATAGCACCTAGTATTGCAGCACTAATCAATGCATGATAGCTTCAGGGAGCAGACGGGGCTTCTCCCAGAAAGTATTAATTAAAGTGTTATATCAAAGAATTATTAACAAAATTCCTGTATTCCACATTCACCATAGCACAAGTATCACTAAAGTATAGTACAAATACTTACTACTTCTGGATGAATTACATTCTCTATTTCCACTTCATCGTCCTGACTAGATATTAGAATAATGTCCTTGGTCCCCTGAAATAAAAATTTACATTGAAAATCTGGTAAAATAGTTAAATGAAAACATAAAAAGGTTAATAATGATCATGTACAAAATGACTGAACAAATAAACTTTTATACAAGTACATTTATATACAGTTTGCACAATCATAAGAATCACCCCCAAGGAGAGCACGGCACCCTGCAGAGAAGATAACCAAGGGCAGGGAACAGTTTTGATGACACCACAAACTGAGGTGGGCAAGGGAGACAGATTTGACCAGCACAACATCTACATCAAATGTAAGGAAGAAACAGCTACTGAACACAGAACCAGCAGTCCAACGAAAAGCTAAACAATTAGCTCCAATAGATAAATTTAGTCTCGCAGGATACCAGATGACGTGTCCAGACCAAGATCGAGCTGAGAGTTGGCAGCGTCAACTAGAACACGAGTGGATGGCGGAGACATGGGAAAAGAAGTGGATGGCGGAGGCATGGGAAAAGGAGTGGATGACGGAGGCATGGGAAAAGGAGTGGATGACGGAGGCATAGGAAAAGGAGAGGATGACGGAGGCATGGGAAAAGGAGAGGATGACGGAGGCATGGGAAAAGGAGTGGATGACGGAGGCATGGGAAAAGGAGAGGATGACGGAGGCATGGGAAAAGGAGTGGATGACGGAGGCATGGGGAAAGGAGTGGATGACGGAGGCATGGGGAAAGGAGTGGATGACGGAGGCATGGGGAAAGGAGTGGATGACGGAGGCATGGGGAAAGGAGTGGATGACGGAGGCATGGGAAAAGGAGTGGATGACAGAGGCATGGGGAAAGGAGTGGATGACGGAGGCATGGGAAAAGGAGTGGATGACAGAGGCATGGGGAAAGGAGTGGATGACGGAGGCATGGGGAAAGGAATGGGGGTTTAATTGTTTGGTAGCTGCTTAGTTTTGTTTTGGTAGTCTGGTACTTTTCAATAACATTTCTCAGAGTGTGTCTTCTGTGGTTTCCTATGATTGCTTTTAGGGGCTTGCTGCCCCAGTACTTAGGAATATAATGTGAATTTTTTTTATTGTTTACTTTCAGATGTGTTAATTAAGAAAATAGGACAAACAATTTAGCTATCAATCTATTTTCATCAATATTTACCTCCAAGCTATCTCTCTCCAACCCACTAAGAAGTTTGAGGACATTTGTGGCATGGGTGGGTTCCTGTACATCGCTCACCAAATTTCTGAAGTATTCACTTAGCACTGGGTCACACAACTCCCCTTCTATTTTGGCTAAGTAATCAATCAGAAGTTCTTCTAATCTGTAAGAGAAGAAAAACACTATATTGTAAACAATTTACAGAAGGTATGGTTGATTCACACGAGGGCAATCAAAGACATTATATTCTCCCCTATGCCAATGTATCACATGAAGAAAATATGAAATACTCTTATTACATAAAAAAAATTTAGTTATCACACCTTCAAGCCAGTTATATGATTAAAAATGTAACCACTAGTTTATAATGATTACCTATGATGATTTTCAATATTATATGCATTATCACAAACAATGAACATCTATGATTATTAATAAATACCATAAGTATAATTATAATGATTACCCTTATTATGCTTAATCAAATACCAATGCTGACACCCCCAAACGAGGTTGTGAGTGACCAAGCAGATCCCTTAAAAGAATATAAAATGGCAAGATAGCAGGCAATGAGAACCACAAAGATGTCCTACACCTCATCCCACAGAAGCAGCACGACTACCTTCCTTACATAAGTTTCTAAAGGCAGTTCTTATGTTGGCCAGTCTAGCGAATGCCGCTGATGATGTGGGCCTATTGGGACAGGTTCAGTGTGATATCAACCCCTAGATCTCTCTCTCTCTATTTGACTCTTGCAGGATTCCACCTCCCAGATGGTACCTCGTGTTCAGCCTTCTGCTCCCTTCGCCTAATTTCATTACTTTGCACTTTCCCAAGTTAAACTTTAGTAGCCATTTTCTAGACCATTCCTCCAGCTTGTCTAGGTCATCTGTGGAGCAGCACAGTAGTTGCTCAGCTCATATTGGAACAGAGGATAAGACAACATGTCCATTTGAGCAACAGATCTTAAGAGCCAGGAACAAAACTCCAAGGAGCATCAAAAGGCAGCCAAAGACTGTCCCTCTCCAATGCAACCCCATTTTCCTGAGTCTCCCTTCAACTGAAGGAGGAGAGGGACCTGGAACAGTGTCTACAGAATCCTGAGTACTGGGCCTGAAGTACTGAAAAGAAGAGACACATCTTCAACCAAAGAGAGCCCTCAGGCACACCGAAAGGATACAAGCTTGAAAACAATTCATAAAACATTTGTATTGCATGTTTGGTAGTCACCTCCAATCACATATGAAAGCATCGAAGGGCTTTAGTCAGCTGTGATTACACGTGAAAGAATGAAAATACTTAAATTTCTTAGAGAGATCTTCTCAGGATCTATTCTGAATTGGATTTTATATTCATCACTGACTTCGTCAGCACATTATGACCTTGCCCGAATCTTGTATGTGTAGTGCAGTACTATACTGCATCACACCCTCCTAGCTGAACGATTCATGTCCCAAGGACTTGATAAGATTTTGCCTGCAGAATACAAGCAAATCAAAACTTGCCTTGTGCAAGTGCAAAAAAAATGGAAAGGTAGTAAAATGTTAAGAATGGTCCATCCATTACTTACTTCATCCAGTCAATAATGGAGCAGTTTGGGCAGGATATAAGGGGCTCGGTTGATAAATTGCACTGCACCTTCACCTCACGTAATGGTTGTTTTAAAGAACTATGAAGTGCATCCTATAATAAAAACATATAAATGTCAGTACATTAATAAATCAGCATACAAACTAATTAACATATTTTCTTGCATATAAAATACACCTACAGTAATTTACAAGAATATATTATGGAAAAACTATTTTACTATGTTTCTTCATTTAATGAAATTGATTTTCAAGTGGTTGTGTAGGGGAAGACATTTGATTTTGTACATGTAAATACAACATAAACTGGGTTGGTGGTGGACTAAAAACATAAGTCCTTTTTCCCGGTAAATATAGTAACAACTGATAAAATTACAGTACCGTCAACTTTCATACACTAACAATGCTGCAGAGGCAAAGCTAATTATGGGTTTCAATTTTTGTCTGTATTTGATACTCTAATATAAGGTAAACTTTAATAATGTTCTATTACTTGTACAATAGTCTTTCTGTATATAATTTGTCTCTACTTGCATATTGATACGCCGTGTCTGTCCATATCCCTGGCTTTTCTATCCACTTCATACATATCCTCCAATAACATTTAAATTCCTTACTCTATCGTCCTAATCTCAAAAATGAACGAACAAATCCACAACGGCCGTGACAAGGATTCGAACCTACATCCGGAAGCATCCCAAAAGCTGCCTTAATCGACTGAGCTACAACATGGTAAAAAGAGTTGAAACCGAAGTTGTAAGTTTGGACGCAGGTTCGAATCCTATCACGGCCCTTGTGGATTTGTTCATTTCATGCATCATGCTATTGTGATTTCTGTGTGTTAAAAATGAATGTACTCTCTATATTTGCCATGCTCATATCACATCAGCAAATATTAACTCAATTTTGTTTCACAATGATTATTTTTAAACTTCAACCTTGGAAAAAGCAGCTGTTTTCTTATGAAAATAGATACTTCCCTCACATGAGAGGAAACAATAAGAGCACACAGGTTTTCCACGAGTGGAAAACCTCCTCCTCCTCCTCGTTAATTCCACAAGTGGAATTAACAAGGAGTAAGTGATAGAAGTCTACATCACCCACAACTTAAAAAATAAAGACAAATCAAAAAAAGGTTAATAATTGCAACAGACAACCAATAGCTAGAAGGTGCAAGACTAGAAGTGTTTAAAAGTTAGACCTCATACCTGATAAACAACAATAGGTAAGCTCTAATATGCATGCAATGAATTTGCATGTCAATTTTCCTCACTTACAGTTTGGGTACACGTGTCTCTAATTCGGTGAGGTCGTCCCTTTGGTTTCGGAGGAGGTGCTCTTGGATGACTAGGCAAACTGACATTTTCCCCGTATTCATCTTCATTTTCAAAAACTGAGGTCCCTGTGTCAGGTGATGGCATCTCATTTTCTTTGTCTTCCTTTTTTACTGGAGTAAGTGCCTGTTTTCTTCTTCGACCGACCAACGCACTGCTCTTCACCTGAGCTTTTGATACTGGCACAAATTCCATTTCATCTGGATCTGATAATTCTGTCTTGATAAAAGGGGTCCTGAAAACAATGAAAAACCCTATATGAGCATTTTGCCTGAAATGCTATGCACATCAGTGGCTTTGCAAGAATTTAATTTAACCACCAAAATATATACAGTACTCTCACAACTGAATGCATTAATCACACACACATTAATCTCGGGACCATAGATTCAAAGCTCAACACCTGCAAGCACAACTACCCGAGTACACACTAGCTACTTGGGCACCACAGGCATGACAACTTGATGAGCTGCAGGATCATTGCAGCTTATCTGAGTGGCAGTGCTGGAGAGAGCTATACAAGTGGTGTTCCCAATACTGTACCATAAATATACCGAGATCATTGATACAAGGAGGAGAATGGCAACTGTTAAGAAAAATATATAAATCTGGAAAAAAATTTGAGCTAGGGACTCTGTACCAGAGCAGATGGAAACAAAATAAATATGGCAGATGGGGAAAGGATTAAATGGGACAGGATCATCAGTGGTGACATCAAAAGAGACAGACTTCAAACGCTTTCCTCAGGAACAAATACAAGACGGTGGTTTTCTTGGTAGATTGCTGAGGAGTGAAGATTTACTAAAGGCTTATAAAGAAAAATATCTTAATTTAGAACAAGAAAACAAAGTTCTCAGAAACCAGGTTAATACTTTATCAGATGGTATGTTGCAGCAAGATAAGGAAATTGCCAGCTTGACTGACATAGTAAGGAAACAAGAAGGACAAATGAATGAACTAGAGAAAGAATATGAGACATGGGAAAATGAAGGGAAATGAATTTGAAGAAAACAAAAAGATAGATAGATAGATATGAACAAGAATTAAGAGAAACTGTGGAGGTCAGCCAAAAGATAGAGTTATGCAAGGAATTTCTAAAAGAAAATCCAAGGGCAACTCAAATGGAAGAAGTCACTAGAAGTTTGGAAAAGTGCAAGACGATTAAAAAAAAAATTATATGTGCAAGATGTTAAAATTACAAGTTGTCCAACTAATTTTCTTTTCATTTGGGTCTTATCACTGACCTTCTTAGGCGTGATGGTTATTTATTTAACCTAAGAATATAAAAACTATCCAAGAAAACATGAGAAAGTTTACAGAAAAGTTTAGTGGGGTTGTGCACTGAATGACAGCTGCTGGAAAACTGACTTGTCTGCTACACATTTAAATGTCAAGCAAACAGTCGACTACTGAGCCTGAACAAAGCATCCAATGTGTCAAATTCTTAAGAGTTGTGACCCGATTGAGTACCGAGGTTCCTGTACTCACCTAGTTGTGCTTGCGGGGGTTGAACTTTGGCTCTTTGGTCCTGCCTCTCAACTGTCAATAAACTGGTGTACAGATTTATGAGCCTATTAGGCTCTATCAAATTGTATGTATATGTATGGGTAATATAAATATATATATATATATATATATATATATATATATATATATATATATATATATATATATATATATATATATATATATATATATATATATATATATATATATTATATATATTATATATATATATATATAAATATATATATATATATATATAGATACATACATACATACAGTATATGTTGTTGAATATGACCGAAAAGGTAAGATTAATGATCCTAACACAACTCTTCTCATTATTTCTTATGTTTTCTTCACTGTCGAGGGAAAGTTGAAAAATTAACTCTTCAAAGTTTATTTTCCCCAATTTATTCATTCATTTTTATTCCATTTATTCTCCATTAACGTTGGAGAGTTAATTTTTCAACTTCTCTCGACAGTGAAGAAAAAGAAGAAATAATGAGAAGATTCGTGTTAGAATCATTAACCTTACCCTTCCGGTCATATTCAACAACATATGTTTACAAGAAAGACTGTTACCAAAATATACTAATACTATATGTGTATGTGTGCTAATTTATATAATACATTTATACATTAATCAGTAGGTTTGTTAAGGTGTGATGGTCTTACAGTTCAGCCCAGTCATAATTCTTGTTAGGTTTTGGAGTCCTCTTGGGTCTGCCTGCAGACAATCCCTGCTTGATCTTCTCTGCTTCCTCAGCCACCAACTGAAGCAACAGGTACACAACATTGAATAGCACCACACTCAATAAAATAAATAATACTGCATTCAGAAATCACAGGACAATAAATTTTTAATAAAAAGCAGTTTTATTTATACATGCTTTAAAGAAACCATTACAAATTACATGATTATTTGTAACAGCCAATCAAGGCACATATCTATACTGAACAAATATTGTAACAAACATTTCTCCCCCTCCTGAACATATATAATAATATTTTCTTCATATTTTGAATGTTTCTACCATGGAGTTTTCAAGCACAATCTTGTATTGGGCTTAAATATTTTAAAATGTTCTATGATTACACATACCATGTCGCAGGTTTTCTTTTTTCGAGTTTTTGTCTTCACAACTGGTAATTTTTGGGGAGTTATGAAATGCAAGCTGCAGACATACTGCTCCGAGGAACTATAGCAGTCAGGTCTGAAAGATATTAAAGTTTCGTTAATTATAATACATAAATGACCAAAGCAGTTTTAGCATAAAACTTTAATACCGTAATTAGTGATATGATGGGATTTGAGATGTGGGGGTGGGTGGAGAATAGGGGCAGGGGGAGGAGTAGGGGTTGGTGGAAAGTATAGGTGGGGGGGGGGGGGGAGAACCATTGATGATGCATCCTTACTTGGATTATACAGTACTACTTGGATGGGGTTTTGAGAGTTCTACTCCCCAAGCCTGGCCAGACTTGTGAGAGCTTGGTCTATTAGGCTGCTGTTTTGAGCAGCCTGTAGGCCCACATACTGTATCCACTACGGCACATTGGCCTGATAGCTTTTGCATAAAACTATCCAGTTTTTTATTGAAGACTTCCACTTTTGTTCTGGCAATATTTCTTATACTTGCTGGGAGGATATTAACAATTCTGCTGCGCTGCTATTAAATATGACAAGCCCCCAGTGTGCAGAAACAAATTATTCCCAAAAAATTTTCTTGTACCTGTATTGTTAAAATGCATTTTCTGATCATGGGGAAACTAAAAAAAAAACATTTAGGAGACATACTTTGGCCGTGATGGAACGAGGAAGTCTGAGAATATTTAGGTGCTGAAAGAGTACACACTAGCGATGGTGTGCTCCAACCAAACAGTGTGGTGGGGATTACCGCAAATACATTTTAATATAATTATTTCATTGTCTGTGAATGGTTTTACATCTAGTTTTTTGCAATAATATTATTCAATAAGGTGTAATTTGAGGAACTGCCATAGTTAAATTTGAGGAACTGCTATAGTTAAGTTTGAGGAACATCCCTATTCTAAAAAATCAGCCAAACAACAGACTACTGCTTGGTTAAAAACAAGACTACAGCCTCAAAACTGCCAAAAGAACTCTGCAACAATGAAAACAAATGATAAAAAATTTATGATACTAGTGAGTGCTACAACACACCACCTCTCCCCATTGTTTGAGGGGGTAAGAGGAGGAGGCGACAAACTGGGTCAGCTGGCTGCTCCACCATTAGTTCTTATGATGATAGAAATTACCCTGACACCCTTGGGAAGGGAGGGTGTTTAGTTCATTTTGGAAGGGAGGCTCAGGAACCCCATGTGGCTCCCTGAAGCTATCTACCCATGGAGAAAAAGGAAAGGGCATACTTCAAGGAGGAGGAAGCACTGCAAGTGTGAAAACAAAAAGCACCCAACAGGTTTTATGGAGCCACTGTAGCCCGAGCTACATGGAAATTTTGTTCCGAGTAGCTGAATCTAAAACAGCAGCAGCCCAACAACTGCAAAACATGACCAAAGGCCACACAAAGCCATAGAAAACAGGAAAGTCTACAAGATACCTGGCTGCTGGGTATCATAAAATCATTTTATCATAAAGTACTGTATAGTACAACAAATGGGTGATACATGCCTCACCCAGCCAGACAATTCCTACAACACCACACCAAGTGGCAGGATGACAGCAGTGCATGCCTGGTAAATAGACTTCCCACTTTGCTTTCTACACAATGCCTTCAGTCTTAAGTGAAATTGAATTTCTAGTGGCTCAATGAAATTCAGATTAACATCGTTGCTTTATATTTTATATTATTAGTCAATTTTTTTGTATTCAATGGACTACTAGCAATTTCCATTGTATGTTAAGTTTCAAGTCTATGTCTTACTTCCCCATCTCATCCTCAGATTTTGTGTCCAAAATATTTTGTTGTGTAACTATTTCACTCGTATCATCCAGTCCTCACATTCTCTGTCATTACTATAACATAACTCCCATTGACAGGGAAAGAAAGACTACTGTACTTCAGCTTATCAATAATGTGACAATGTAGGTGTGTGTATACCTGGAGAGGGTTTCATGAGCTCTTCTACTCCCCGAGCACGGCCTGGAGCCGGGCTCGACTGTATATGTACAGTATATGTACCTATGTACATGGGGCAAGTTATACCAATATATTTTACAGACTAGGTTTAGGCAGAAATAGTGTGCACAGATCATATAGGGGTAGCTGGATCCTATGGAGTTGGCAGCAGCTGTCTTTTACAATGCAAGTTATTATAAAATGACATATTTTTGTTTAAAACTGTTCATGACTACTTTGTCAAGTAATGAATAAAATGTATGGAAATATTATTCATAAAACCCCAAAAAGGTGATGATATGAAGAGTAACTGTGAATAGTCAAGCCTGAAATTAAAATATCCCACAAATAACAAGAGGTCTATGCTATGGCATGTTCTTGCCTGCATGGTGTTTGTTGTTGTTTAAGATTCGCTACCCGGAACAAAAAGTTCCAAGTAACACGAGCTATGGTGAGCCCGTAGTGGACTTATCTTGCCTGCAGCTTACTAAGGAGTTTTTCAAATTGAAGCAAGGCAGAATCCAGAACAAAGCTGTTATTAAACTTTTACATTTCATCTATTTGCTTAATTACAAAACAAATACAAATTGTCTTACACAATAATATCAAGCACTTCTGCCCAAAATAACTTGAGCTCTTTATTATGAGGAACAGCGTAGAATATGATGGAATCCGCTTCATTTGACCGGGATTCACAATCACGAACACAGCAGACTAATGGATGTCTTTCATATTCCTGTTAAAAGAAAAACTAATATTAATATCAATAACCACCAAAACTAGGCCAACTTTAGTAAAAGAACTGATATTTATAAAGCTCAAGCTGGGATCAGTGTTATACACTACTTCCAAGAAAGGTAAGATGATTATTCAGAGTAAATGCTAAGCCAGTGTCTATGTGGTACAGTACTTGGAAGGAATAAGAGGGATAGGAGCTTGGATATGATGGGGTAAAGAAAGTGCCCAACCATTTGGACCATCAGGGATTTTCTAGTGTAAGAAGTTATTATTTTCGTAACAAATGTCCTGTTTTACCTGCCAAAGACCTTCTTCCCAATGAAAATTATTTTTCCACAATTCTTCCCTAAACATTTTAGCCATTCTGAACTGTTAGGGTTTTCAAAGGCACACTGGCTCATGATAATTCCAAATGTTGGTTAGCTCATCACCCAAACGAAGCAGTAAAAAAATTTTTGTATTATTAATTAATAACCCGAAAGGACGTAAAAATTTAAAACTGCCCAAGTACAACAATATACAGTGTATTTAAGAAGATCCATTTGTTCATACTTGTATACTAATACATTCCATAAATAAAAACAAAAAATATGTTAGTTATTTAGAAATAAAATAATGATATAAAACACGAGTGCTTCAGACTACCACCACCAGATGACAGCACATACCAGGAAATTTGTTTTCAATCTCTAAGATCTTTCTACCACAAAAGTACACACAGCCCAGATTTTTATACTAAAGTGGACAAAAAGTAAATTTCCACATCTCATCTAAATGGTTAAAACCATTCTGTGGCTCACCTGGTCGTCAGGTACTTCCACTTTAATATTCTTAAGGTTGACACTTGCGAGAGCAACTTGCTTTGATGTCTCCGTCTTACAGCCTGACTCCAGAACAAATGCCTCCGGAGCGGATGTTGCCGGCAGAAAATGAAATGTTTGTGTGCCACAGTCAGACGTCTTGCCATTTGCTTCTCTCTTGCAGCTTAAACATACCTGTAAGAGTGATTTCGGATATGTAGAAATGGTATTACACACCTGAAGATGTGTCACTGCACACAAACGACAAAGGGGTATTGCACCCACCTGACCAATATGTTCAATAACATACAGTATTGGTCAATAGTATGTACATTTAAGGTCTTAAAAGTTAAAGTTGACACATGTCTATGGAACCAGAGTGGTGTGTTCCAGGGCGCGGGAAGCAAGTAACATATGCCTACGGAGCCAAAGAACTTCAACAACTGTCCCAAAAATATTTATAAACAAAATTAAAAGGCATCAAAATGTTTCCTACAATGGAAGCAAATATATTAAAATGAATTTGGCTCAAATGAAATTATAAGAGTGTTCACAAAATTTTTTAATTATTGAAACTTCATGAAAAACTAGGAATGGTTAGGAAATTTAATGCAAAAACTGCTAATCACCAGTCATACAGCATATGCAGCTAATAAAATTCTAAGAAGAATGACTTTGCGCGCTTCTCCTTGGGGAAATTATTAAAAGAATTTTCAATAAACAAAGAGACTTGTGAAGTGTTACCTGTGGTACAGACGAGTCTAGCTGTCTTCCCTCGTCGCCCCTCCACATAACACCACAACTAACAGACCCATCCTTATTTTCTTCCCTTTTCGAAATACTGGCAGTATTTTCTTTGGTGTGAATTGGAGGAGAGTCGAGGCAAGCCCAGTCATTATCTGACAGCGTCAAAATACCTATATTGCCAGCCGTTGTACAGCCTGCAACCAGTACTTCAGTTCTTGCTTCTTTTCCAGTTTTGCTTCTTCCTGCAAAAATCAGTAAATAAAATATGCTTTAATAAGGCAATCATGAAAAATAATTAGTCTCCTATTGCAGCATATCACAAAATACCTTTAATGAAATACAGGTACCAAAATACCTGGTTATAGAGGTCTTTACAAATAACAATGTATTTACCCCGGTTAAGCCTCATATCCTAGAGCTCAAATTATTTTTAGCTCAAATTTCCTCGAGCTCAAGTTGATGCACAATGCAATTACAGTGGCATGATGTATCTATGCATCTGAGGTGATCCAAAAAATAAATTCAATTCCATCACATTGCTCCAAAATATTTCATCATACTTGTACCAAGTTAGTTCTCGTAATTAAACATACCATTAATGAAATTAAAAAATATAGAAGAAGCTTGTGACTTTTACTTCGACGCATAGCTCAAGTTCATCAACCTATGATCTTCAAAGTTCCAAACTAATAACCCATTTCTAACCCAAGTGCTTTAATAGCTTTTTATTATCTTAATATCTTAATACTCTATTACTAAACTAATTTTATAATAAAAAAAACATTGAATGTAATGAAACAAATTACTGGGTGGGCCCTGGTGGCTCCCTGAAGCTACTATACTGATATGGTGCCTCCGTGACTACAAGATGCCATCAGTCACGGAGTTCTATTTGGACTACTGTGGACCATGAGCTAGAACATGGCCCCCCCCCCTCAGAGAGGTACAGGGAGCAGTGGCACGTATGAACAATTTTATGTAAATTTATTCATGTTTGCCACCACCAGGGGAAGGTACCCAGAAAGTTTGTTGTGGAAACGAGACCGCAGCCTCAAAACAGTAAAAAAACACTCTCCAAACAATGTAAATAAATGATCAAAAATTCAGGAAAAGCCTCCAAAGCCAAGCCCTACCCAAGGGCTAAACAATAAGGGCGAAGTTCAAATTTCCACACAACTGCTCGAGCAACCGCTGAGTCACCCTGCACCAACTCAACACCATGAGATGGCGGCACTGCAGCAGGAGCAAGGCTGCTAGAGATAATGAAAGCAACGCCTAACGCGAATCCCAAACAAGGCCCAACCAAGTCCAAACCTAGGACAAAACCAACAGGGACTTCCACCAGTTCACCAAGAACCCAAGTCCTGTGAGCTGGGAAAGCACCAGACCCTGGGCTAACAGACACGTGGACTGGTTTGGAGCACACACCAGTCAGTCGTCGCTAGGCCAACACCCAAACACCCAGCAAATGAATACGAGGTCATCATGACCCGAGCCAAACGTGACCTGAGCCAAATGCATAAACACGAGAAGGCAGATTGAGCCTGAACAGGTGAACCCAAAAGCGGAGAGCCTGCCGCCAACCGACGAAGTCTAACCAATCCCTGAACCTCGGATGAATAGAGACGTACCAGTACGCATCCGAGAAGTCCAGGGAGATCCTCAAAGTATACGTACCTGTCTGTAGAATGAGACAGACCTGGGTCCGTGATCATCTGAAAGGAGGAGCAAGGAATAAACTATCTAGTTAAACCTGGACAGGTCGAGGATAAACCAGAGATCCAGAGTCCCGTTTCGAGACTAGAAACAGGCAGGAAACCCACTGAAGAGATGCAGTCATTTTGACCATGCCCGAAGTCACCCACCCTGAGATGACTTGACAAATGTAAGGGGAAGTTTTCAATGCTGCCCTGAAAACCTCGAGCTCATCGAGGACTGCAGGATCAGCCACCTCCACTGCAGGCTGCTAAAAACAACCCAAAAGCCCATGAATCTTGGGCCTAAGTGTTGGCAAACCAAGCAAGCCTCCCCCCCAGTGCCCCATCAAAGGGCTCGATCTGTGAAAGAGTTGGCTGGTAAATTGGTGGCTTACACCCTTATTTGCAGTCCCCGTGGTGTAGTGGTTAAGACACTCACCTGGGTTCACGAGTGAGCCGCGAGCGCTTTGTCCTGGGTTCGTATCCTGGCCGGGGAGGATTTACTGGGTGCAAATCCTTAACTGTAGCCTCTTGTTTAACTCAACAGTAAAATGGGTACTTGGTTGTTAGAACGATTTTTCGCAGGGTCGTATTTTAGGGAACATAGGATTAAGGACTTGCCCGAAACGCTATGCGTACTAGTGGCTGTACAAGAATGTAAGTACTCTTGTATATATAAATAAATAAATAAATTTATATCTATTATGTCTCCCATATGCTGAAAATTAGCCCCTATGTCATTGTCCAGAGCCCAACACTCACATACATTATGTTCATTTGGTTTTCACTACTCTATTTGTTTATTTATTTTATTTTTATTTATTTATATACAAGAAGGTACATTGGGTTTGTGAGGATACATAGCATGATATTTACATTCTTGTAAAGCCACTAGTACGCGCAGCATTTCGGGCAGGTCCTTAATCTAACAGATAATTTTAAGTAGGTAAATCCTAGCAGAATTAATAGTGATAATAGGTACATTGCAAGAAAAAAATCAGATGAGAGAGATTAGTAAGTATATTAAAGCACATTGGTAGCTCTGATTGATTGCATTGACAGCTTAATTGGTAATTTAAACAAAGATTAATAGACATACAGCAAATTGATAGCACATATAAGAAGACAGCAATGATCACAATGGTAAAGTTGTTTGGATTAGGTACATAAGATTGGGAGATTGGGTAGCACTAGATACAGTGCAATTATAAAGCTACAAGGTAGGAAATTATGAAGATGAAATTAGGTACTTTTTAGTTTTGTTTTTGAATGATGCAAAAGTTGGACAGCTTTTCAATTCATTAGGGAGTGGCTAGGTCCCTTTATTTACATAGAATGTTTACACAGATTAAGTTTGACTCTGGGGATATCAGAGAGAGATTTATTTCTGGTGTGGTGATAATGGGTCCTATTACATCTGTCCATCAAGTGACCACCATTAGGAGGCCTCCCAGAAAACTATGATATTCACCTATCAGTATTCCTACAAATAAACACAACTGTAAAGTACATTAAAAAAACATGAAGCAACATTTTCATCCACTGTTATAGCTAAATTATATCTTACCATGTTCCTGTTCAAGTGACTCCTCTGCCTTCCGCTTCAGTGGTCTACGCTCACCACTACTCATGATTAAACTCTTCACTCAGGTACACTGCAATAAAAAAAATAATAATAATATATATAATATACAAGAAAATGCACACTGCATCCTTGGTTCCTGCCAGCCATCTGAGAAGCTGGAAGAGCTCGACAACCTGTGACAATTAGCCTTGTACCTTGCATGTAACCAATGTTGTAATCCATTTTGTGTAAAGAAGTTTTAACTGAAATAAAATGACAAAATATACAAAATATAGGAGGGGGGGTTAGTAGGAGAAGGCAATATGTGAGTGTACACGGGTGCCCCAGAAGGCTCCCCCGGATGCTGCATATCATCTTCTTCGGGGCCGAGGGTCCCTACAAATGCAACCAGAAGTGGTGTCCCCTATATATATATAATATATATATATATATACTTTATATTGCATCTTGAGTCAATTGATTGCTATGGAGTGTTCTCAGGAAAACATAAAGTCAGAGAGGGATGAAAGTTCAGGAAGTGGAATAAGGAGGAAGAAGAATATATGACTGAGAGGAAACGTCAGGTAGGAGGAGGAAACATCAGGTGGGAGAAGGAGGAAACGAGAGATGGGAGATGACATGGTGATAATTGTAACCCAGACTTGTAAATAAGCCCACGGCACCCACACTATAAGCTGGAGCATGGGAAGAGAGACAGACGGGGGGGGGGGGAGGTAGGCCAGAGCTGGGGGAGAGAGAGAGAGAGAACATTTTACACCATTGTTTAGATCATTGGCTTTACCCCCGTAGCCCCAACCACCCATGAGTATAAACCCTCCCCCACCCCCACCCCCTACCTCGCCCCCCACACCCTACACCACACTCTTAAAACATATTTCCAACACACGCATCCTGGCTAAACCCGCGGCCCAAGCCATAAAGTGAGAGGAGAGGTGAAGTCTTACCTTCAGCTTCCCTCACAAGATGGTGGTGACGGCCACTGGCTACCTCGCCGGCCACTTCCTCAGCCACTCTCGGGGCCACGGCCCACTACAGTCACTTCACGCTCACAATTAGGGCAAATATCCCACTTGTTTTCATTCATAATACGGTTATATAAAAGGGATCTCCGTGTCTAGCGAGAACACTGTTATGTTTCATCTGAGTAAGATCAATGTTGACATTTCCATTCAAAGGGTTTAAATACAAATTATCTTATATTATTGTAAGTAAAATGATATAAATAATAAATAACAAATAATATGTATTCACTTATATATAAGTATTTATTTTCATTCAGTAATTAATAGAATAATGCAGTACCTGATTTGAACTTCTGACCACAGTGGTGGTGTTTGGCGGCAATAGGAAGCGAGATTCAAATTAGAAAAAAGACACTTTAAACAAAATAATTTTGTATCGACAATTTAAATCTATGCTTTCTATCAGTGGAATACACACACAAAAGCTTCTGTGTTATAGTGGTTTGAAGCGCCTGAAGCAGCGTCTCGGCGCCATGAGATCAATAGGAGGTCGACTCCCACATCAGTGGGTCTTACGGGCTAATCATGCCCGTGCCACCTCTTTGGTGGCTTAATCTTTATCACTCATCAACAGTTGGGTCACAGAGTTCCTTAGCCCCCCTTCAGCCCGAGGAAGTATTAAAATATTTTTTAATGAATTATATTATAAAATATTAGGGGGGTACCACCACTGGTGCAATTATAGGGACCCACAGCCTCAGAGAAGGGAACACAGAGCATTCAGGGAAAAACTTGCCATTTAACTCTGAATACGTAAGAGTGTTCGCTTCTCCTACCACCCCCCTTTTTTTATGGTGTACACTTTATTATGCAAGGTTATACAGTTACATATCTGATTTTATACAAAAAATTAACATTAAGAGGACACAAAAAAAAGTTCGCTTCCTAGAGGCTGTAGATTTCCTCGAACTCCTCCGACGCCGGGCATGAACCGAGGATGCAGCGAGCATTCCCCCTCTGGATCGCGACACTATAAAATATTATATATATTCATTAAATATTTTTAATAAATATTATAAATATATAAATTTTAATATTATAAAACCAAAATGTACGATTTTCACCTTTTGCTGGGCGGTGAAGGATGTCATCCTCGGGCGGAAAGGGGCTGTGGAACTCTCTACCTGTGGCCACATAGGTGAATTCAGAGACAATTCTATAACGAATGTTCCAACGATGTGTAAATAACAACGAGCCCCTAAGGCAGCTCGTTGATGGCTTCAACTTCGTTCTGGCAGCTCATGCGTCGTCGCTGGAACCATGCGTATTTGCGTTTGCCTTTCCATTGGAGAATTCCAACAACATGGAGAGTGGGGAATTGCTGCATGGGTGACAGCCTCTCCTCAATGTCGATTTACCCTGGCTTTGCGCCCTGGTTACCATAGCGTAACTCCTAATTATAGTCTCACACTGATGGATGCCTACTATAGAGGCTTTGCCAAAATATACCAATTAATTACAACCCAGCTGTACCATATTTATAATAATAATCATAATGTTTATTTAGGGAAAAGTGAATACAAACATTATGTAAATGATGTATTCACACACACGACTTTATAATGGTCCAGGACGGAGCGAAGGAGGGAGGGAATTATTAGGGGAAAGTGCCAAGAAATTACGGCTATATAGCACTTAGAAGGGTCAGGATAAGGATTTGGGATGGGACGGGGGAAAGTAATGTTGCCCAACAACTTGGATGGTCGGGGATTGAACGCCGACCTGCATGAAGCCAGACTCCATCATCTGGAGCATGGAGAAGTTTCTCCATCTTCCGATGTGTGGTTTGCTCATCATATAAAGTGAGTTACAAGCAGAATGTTACACACAGAAATCACAATAACATGATGCATCAAATGAACAAATCCACAAGGGCTGTGACAAGGATTCGAACCTGCGTCCAGGAGCATCACATAGCTCAGTCGATTAAGGCAGCATCTTGGATGCTCCCGGACACAGGTTCGAATCCTCGTCACGGCCCTTGTGGATTTATTCAAGCAGAATGTTGGATTTCTAGGTAGAGCAAGTACAAACTATGCCTAAACCCACTATACTCATAGCGTTTCGGGCATGATGTGGACAAAATAAACTTAAAAACTAAGACTTAAAACAATTTGAGATCAAAAGCAAAAATGGACTGAAGTAAAATATATATATTTTTATACAAAAAAATTATATATAAACAAGATGGGGCATCCAGTTATGATGGAGAGCCTCATGCTCCACCTCCCCGCTCTTCAGCACCTCCGCCTCTCTTCATCTCTCTCTCCCCTCCTCTCCTCTCATCTGCCACAGCATCCCCTCTCAAGGGGCGTAGCCATGCAGGGTCTAAAGTTAGGGGGAGCGAGCACATGAAAAAGGCGCCATGACACATACCAAATAATTTTGAACTCATTATACATTTTTATCCACACAAGTGCTGGTGCCTCCAGTCAGGGCCCACACAAGTGTTGGTGCCTCCAGTCAGCGTCCACACAAGTGTTGGTGCCTCCAGTCAGCGCCCACACAAGTGTTGGTGCCTCCAGTCAGCGGCCACACAAGTGCTGGAGCCTCCAGTCAGCGGCCACACAAGTGTTGGAGCCTCCAGTCAGCGCCCACACAAGTGTTGGTGCCTCCAGTCAGCGTCCACACAAGTGCTGGAGCCTCCAGTCAGCGGCCACACAAGTGTTGGTGCCTCCAGTCAGCGTCCACACAAGTGTTGGTGCCTCCAGTCAGCGCCTACACAAGTGTTGGTGCCTCCAGTCAGCGGCCACACAAGTGCTGGAGCCTCCAGTCAGCGGCCACACAAGTGTTGGAGCCTCCAGTCAGCGCCCACACAAGTGTTGGTGCCTCCAGTCAGCGTCCACACAAGTGTTGGTGCCTCCAGTCAGCGGCCACACAAGTGCTGGTGCCTCCAGTCAGCGACCACACAAGTCTTGGAGCCTCCAGTCAGCGCCCACACAAGTGTTGGTGCCTCCAGTCAGCGCCCACACAAGTGTTGGAGCCTCCAGTCAGCGCCCACACAAGTGTTGGAGCCTCCAGTCAGCGCCCACACAAGTGTTGGAGCCTCCAGTCAGCGCCCACACAAGTGCTGGTGCCTCCAGTCAGCGCCCACACAAGTGTTGGTGCCTCCAGTCAGCGACCACACGTTACAAACTGTACGGGGAAGGTAAATGACTTAACTTAGACGAAGAGGGACAAAGTTATCTATCACGAGTCTTGATGCTGGGTTCTCGTGTTTACATCTCGGTTTTTTATTATTTTTTAGTAATAATTATTTATTTGCAGTATAATTTTAGTAAAAATATTAATTTATTTTTACAAATATATATTAAATAGTGGCTTAAGATGGTGTTGAGGAAGTTGTTGTTGGTGACTTGGGGGTGTTTGTGGGGAGCGGGTCGCGGGGACCACTTCTTCAAGGACTACTCCTTCAGGGACCGGGTGTCTCCCCACGGCCACCACGACCTCCAAGACCACACCCAGTACCAAACTCCGCTAAGTGATGATTTAGAAAGCGAGGATGTAAGGACTTTCTTCCTAAGATACCGTTGGCCGGACAAGATCGTGCCAGTAGAATTTGACGACATGTTTACTAGTGAGTACCGCCCGGTGGTGTACCAGGCGATGGACGTGTTCAACAAACTCACCTGTGTCCGCTTCCGCAATGTCTCCAGGACGAAGGAGTACCACCTTCGTGTTAGCGGCAAGGAGTATGGATGCTTCGCCCAACTGGGCTACATCGACCACGAAAGCGGGTCCAACTTACTGAACCTGGACAAAGGCTGCGACTCTATAGGCATCACCCTTCACGAGATCATCCACGCGCTGGGCATCGACCACCAGCAGAAGAGACCAGACCGCGACTATTACGTCACTATTTTGAAGGACAACATAATTGAGACGGATTTCTCACAGTTCCAGACCAAAACCGGAATGGGAGCTTATTTGTGGACGATGGGTCTCCCTTACGACTACAACAGTCTCATGCACTACCAGCTGAACGCCTTCAATTTAGATGAGAAACATACGCCCACCATACAGCTCAAAAAGCCCTTCTCTGGGATTGTAGGACATCAGGCCTGTCCTTCCCGCACAGACATAGCGATGATAAACCGTTACTACGAGTGCTGGGATCACTACCTGGGAGACGACATCCCAGACGCCGTCCCGTACGAAGAATTCCACTCCAGGTACATAAAGAAGAAACCGCATAAGACCGGAGAAGTAATCACTCACCCAGTGAAGCCCGCCTCAGAAGCACTTACAAAATGGCTTAGCTACATGAAGTCATTAAAGCCTCAGTGATCGTGTGTGGGATTTTGCTGTCTTGTATTTTTTCTTTCTAATATTATTTGTTTGTTGCCGTCACTGGCAGACATAAGAACACTGCTTTCCAAAGCAGTTGGTTTTCTGATGGAAGAAAACGTAGGTCTGTGGAGATGCGTCTAACCGCCCAACCTGCGCGCGCAACAGCCAGTGTTTATATAAGCTTTGCCCGCGGTCTGGTGGGTTCCTGTTCCCGCCACGCACGCAGCTGCTTCACTTACAAAGGTGGAGTGGAGGTGGAGATCGATTCTGAAGTAGACATGATCAACACTAGTTTAATGACAAAAGGTTTTGGTAAGGTTGGGGAGCACTTGGAGCACTAGTTGGAGCACCTCTGGGCCAAATGCCATTGCTGCAGTCCTTGACGAAAAGTTTAGAGACCTAAAGAGGATGGAAGCGAGAATAGGGGACTTGGACTCCCATGATGCCCTCTACCTTCTCACAAAGTGCCTTACCTTGCCCAAGCTAACATACTACTTAAGGTGTGCACCCACTTTTGGCAACCCACTTCTAAATCAATATGATGAGCTCCTCAGGTCAGGAAGGCGCTCAACCTAGATTTAGATGACAGTCAGTGGGACCAAGCAACACTACCAGTGAGATTTGGGGGGATAGGCATGCGAAAGGCAACTGAGGAAGCACTTCCAGCATTCTTATCCTCATGTACAGCAGCCAACGAATTGGTAGGGCAAATCCTACCAGAGCGTATGAGTGAGACAGCGGGAACTCATGATCAAACGTTCATCGAAGCAGCCAGACAATGGGACACCATTGCACACCCTGAACCCTGACCACAAGCAAGCCCACTGGGATAGCCCCATAATGGAAAAGACTGTCACAGCAATGATTGACAACGCTGATGCTGAAAACAAAGCCCGCCTCCTAGCGGTGACAGCACCCCACGCCGGGGATTTTTTATTTGCTGTACCCAATGCAGCCCTGGGAACTCACCTCAGTCATGACGCTCTCCGCATTGGAGTTGCCCTTCGCCTTGCCGCCCCCATCCACACCGAACATAGGTGCATCTGCGGAACTGCGATGGCAGACCAATATGGTCGTCATGGTCTGGTATGTCGTAAATCACAGGGTAAGACTGCAAGGCATGAAGAAGTCAACGACATCATCAAGAGGAGCCTCGCCACAGCCCGCTGCCCGGCACAAAGAGAACCACACTTATCCAGACCTAACGACCCTTACAAGTGCCCAGATGGGGTCACCTTGCTTCCTTGGAAGGATGGCAAGCAAGTGGTGTGGGACTACACATGCGCTGCCACACTGGCCAGTACCTACCTCCACTACAGCACACGTGAAAGCGGAGGTGCTGCTTCTTTCAGGTAATCGCAGAAAATTATTAAATACAGAGGTCTGGCACACTGCTACAGCTTTGTTCCGATCGGCTCGGAGACTCTCGGTTCGTGGGGAAAATGTGCATTGAAGTTCCTGAAGGAATTGGGGGACAAATTGATCAGCGCTACAAAAGACCAGAGAGCAAAAAGTTTCTTGTTCCAGCGCCTCAGTGTTGCGATCCAGAGAGGAAATGCCTGTTGCGTCTTCGGCACTAGTCCAACTTCAGAGGAATTCGAAGAAGTGTTTAACTTGCAACAATGATCGAACCCGTCTGTGACATTTATCAATGTTTCCCATTGTCGTGTTTTTCAAGAGATCCATAACCTTTAAGCACCTTTTTGTATTATTTTTGTATCAACCCATGTATATCTTGTAGCCATCAAATACATAATAAAGCACAAAAAAAGGAAGGGGGTGGTAGGAGAAAAGCACACAGAAACTGTATTGGAGGGGATCTAAACATTCCCTCTAATGCGTTATGCGTGGTTTCCTCCGAGGCTATGGGTTCCCCTTCTTCCAGCCAGAGGTGGTACTCAAAAAAAAAAAAAAAAAAAAAAAAAAAAAAAAAAAAAAAAAAAAAAAAAAAAAAATATATATATATATATATATATATATATATATATATATATATATATATATATATATATATATATATATATATATATATATATATATATATATATATATATATATATATATATATATATATATATATATATATATATATATATATATATATATATTGTAGCAGTCTTTCTTGTAAACATATGTTGTTGAATATGACCGAAAAGGTAAGATTAATAATTCTAACACGAATCTTCTCAATATTTCTTATGTTTTTTTTCTACCACAGACGTAGCCACACATTTACAATGCTAACCAGCATACATACATTTTCTTCTGTCCTCCATGGACAGGGTTAGAGAAGTGTTAAACATATAGTTCAAGGGTTTATTGAACACTCAACCACAGAAGGTGATTCGGTGCTTTTAAAATGCTAAACTAACCTACATACGTAAATACATAGATACACAGATTTACGTAGTATGCCCTACATAAAGTGTTAGATGTGTCTTTTACATAGTGTCATTAATGTACATTCACAAAGGTGAAATGTAATTCTGATCAGCTTCCATATATACTTTATACCCATACATATACATACACACACACATATACATACATATATACACACACACACATGCATTCACATACATTTGTCTCATTTACTCTGACAGGGTGAGATAGCTGATAAAGAAACTAGTGTGCAATTAAGCACTTAATCACTGAAGGTGATGAAGGTGCTTTTACAAGCTCAGGTTATATAGTTACATCATATATATACATTGTATGATTGATATATTACATGGTCAATCTTGGATACAAGTCCAATATATCATCAAGTGTTCCAGTACTCATATAGTAACTACAGAGTTCAGCATACCTTAGCCCAGGAGGGCGAAAGTCAGTCAGTATGGGACATTCTACAATATAATGTTCAAGAGAGTGCATGTTTTCTCTTTCACAAAGTTGACACATTGTGTACTCGACATTTGGGTTTTGAGAAAGCTGCCAGATACGTCTATATCCCAGGCGTATTCTGGCCACTATAACATCACATTGCCGGGTTCTTGTTCTATTAGTCCCATATGTGAATGTCTCCTCACGATATCTATCATAATATTTAATGCTACAACTTTCAGGTCATTGTGAATTTGTTAGGTCGGTGAGATTTTCATTAGATATTTGTTTAAGTATTCTCTTTGTCACTGCTAATGAAACACCCATATCAATTTCTACCACTGGTTTTCTGCAGGCTGACTTAGCAAGCATATCAACAGTGTCATGCCTTGAGATGCCAACATGTGATGGTATCCAAATGAATTTAAATTCAAATCTGTTTTCCTTAGCAGCTAAAACATTCATTCGAATATCACTGACTATTTTCTGGGTGTCACTACTATATGCGTTCAATGCCAGGAGTGCACTCTGCGAGTCACAGTATATAAGTCCACTGCCTTTGTCTTTTAAAAATTCAGTGGCAAGGTATATGCCTGCAAATTCGGTTTGAGTTGTACTTGCCCAGTCATTGACGCGCTTCTTTGCTGTATGTACGAGAGAAGATTGTTCAAATATGTTACATGCACATCCGGTACATCGTCCACCTTCTTCTACAGAGCCGTCGGTATAGCACTGATACACATCGTTACCCATACTCTGAGTACTTTCAGTGATGCTTTTCAGTGTTAACTGTTTTAATAATGTAGTGTGAACACTATCTTTCTTGGGCGCATTTACAAAATCAACTGATAGATCCCAGTTATATGTTTTTCTTCACTGTCGGTGGTAATAAAAATAACAATTCTCCGAAATTCATTTTTTAATTGTCTGACGCCTGAACGCGTTTCGTAATTCGTATAACATTTTCAGAGACTTAATTTATACTCAAATTCTTCGTACTTATACTCTATTGGATGAGGTGATATGGTACAAAAGTTTTGGGTGAGGTGACGAACACAAAACAGAACACGAAACAATGGGTAAAATTGGATAAGTGAACATATGAATGGAAGTAACTGCAGAAGGTCTCCATACTTCCTCTTGCTGCTTCCATATTGGTTCGGGGTCTTGAAGTAGGTAGAATATAGTTGTGCATTAATTGGCTGTTGATTGCTGGTGTTGACTTTTTGATGTGTAGTGCCTCGCTGATGTCTAGCAGGCCTGCTATCACCGTACCTATCGATGATTTCTGTGTTGTTTGTTAAGATTTCTCTGGTGATGGTCTGGTTGTGAGAAGAGACTATGTGTTCCTTGATGGCTTCCTGTTGCTTATGCATTGTTAGTCACCTAGAAAGAGACGTTGTTGTCTTGCCTATATACTGAGTTCTTTGGGGCTTACAGTCCCCAAGTGGGCATTTAAAGGCATAGACGACGTTGGTCTCCTTCAAAGCGTTCTGCTTGGTGTCTGGCGAGTTTTTCATAAGTAGATTGGCCGTTTTTTGTTTTTTTTTTTATAATAAATTATCAATTGTATTTTCTGATTTTTGTCTGTAAGGATGACGTTCCTATCAACAATATCTTTCAGGACCTTTTCCTACGTTTTATGAGCCGTCGAAAAGAAGTTCCTGTAAAATAGTCTAATAGGGGGTACAAGTGTTGTGTCGGTTGACTCTTCAGAAGTTGCATGGCGTTTTACCTTTCTTTTTATGATGTCTTCAACGAAACCGATAGAGAAGCCGTTGTTGACTAGGACCTGCCTTAATCTACAGAGTTCTTCATCGACTTCTTTCCATCCTGAGCTGTGGCTTAGAGCACGCTCGACGTAAGCATTGACAACACTCCTCTTGTACCTGTCTGGGCAGTCACTATTGGCATTGAGGCACATTCCTATATTTGTTTCTTTGGTGTAGACTGCAGTGTGGAAGCCTCCGCTCCTTTCCGTGACTGTTACATCCAGAAAGGGCAGCTTCCCATTGTTCTCCATCTCGTACGTGAAACTCAACACAGAATTCTGCTCAAATGCCTCCTTCAGCTGCTGCAGACATCTGGCATCAGGTACCTGTGTAAAAATGTCGTCAACATACCTGCAGTATATGGCGGGTTTCAAGCCCATGTCAACTAAAACCCTCTTTAGTTGGTTTTAGTTGACATGGTTGTTGGACACGTGTT